GCGGTGCATAAAAAGTTCACTTTTCCCTTGCCATTCTTTTGATTTATAGAGATTACATTACATCGAGCTACTTACCCAGTAATAGTTTTGACATTGAAACTATAGTATTTGCCAAACATTGAGAAGAGAAACTACACTTAATGGCTTTACTAATCACCCTAAAGAATTTCGGCAGATCCCTGACGGTGCTGGGGAATTTTCGCCTTTCTCATCCAATTTCCTATTGGCTAAAAGATGAGAGCCGTGAGGATGTGAAGCCAAACAGGCATGCAAGTTTTTTACCGCCGGAAACTTGTTCAATTATGGGGAGTGATACCGATACTATGCAATAAGGCATGGACGAGTTTTCTTTAGAGCGCAACGCTATTAGCGATTAAACCATCTGGATTGAAAAGCAAAGGTACTGGAACTTTTTCCTTCATTCACTTTTGTAGGAGAAAAGTTTGGGCATCTCACAGATTTATTCAAAAAATGAACAAAACCTCACACGCTATGCTGAAAACCTATTTATTACCAGCATTCTTTCCTATATACAAACACTGATGGCAAAAAAGCAATTTTTCCTAATTTTGCCAATGCTCAAACGGTAGGCGGTGTTTGGATGTTGGCCAACTGAGACATTTTTCCTGGAATCCGCTCGATTTCTCCAACCGTCAGGAAACCATCGTTATTCGCGTCAAGGGTGCCAATCACTTTGGCGATTTCTTCTTTTGAGAGCTGAATAATACGCATAAGTAATATGGGGAAAAGGTTTCAAAGGGAATTCCACCACATCTGGGTAGATGGATTCTATCGATGCCAAATCTACCCAACCGGAGCTCATAAAATTTATTCTTAGCAAGAAATGCAAGTGGAAACCCCGCCGACTACCGTACTCTTCCCGATCGACGCTGCTGAAAACTACGGTGCTGGCGGAAGTTCAATAGTAAATTTTTCGGTCGCATGAATTATATGAGCTACAGCTTGGGTAAGGGCTTAGTGAAGGTCCTCCAATCATTTTTTAAATGAGAAACCAAGCACCCAGAGTTATAAAAACACCGTCTTCAACTACAATAAAGCTAAAATTCTACCTTGTTATAAACATTAGCAAAGTTGTAGATCTCGTCTTGTGACAGTTTTCCATCACGGTCCACATCGATGTAGCTCAAAATCTGGTAAGCCATCTCCCTATCGGCCTCCTTCTACAAACTACGTCTACTAGCTATGAAAGGATAGGCTTTTGATTTTTGTAGCTCTCACCCTGCTCTTTGGCCTGTTGTAGTTGAGTTGAGCAACGAATTCTTCGTATGTAAGCTGTCCATCATCGTTTACGTCGGCGGCCTCGAAAACGCTGTCGATGATGCTAAAGCTAAAGAATTTTCAGATTTGAAAAAAGCCAATCAGTAGCTCATTGCTGATTCCCTCCACAAATTCAACTTTGACCAGATAAGGCAATAGATTGATGCATAACCAATGCAGGTTGCTCATTTGAGCGGCAGAGAAGTCGTAAAAAACTGTTAACACGTTTCGGACCGCGAAATCGCGCGCGGCAAAA